TGTTGCGACTAACCCCCCCCCGCCCATATCTTGAGACCGTTTCCATATCCGCAACTCGGCATGCGCCAGATGGCCACTAGCTAGGCACATGGGGCCTTCAACGATAGAATAGAACAGCTTGATAATGGCAGTTTACATATATGTATATATGTCATATTTGTTTTACGTGCATTCATTAACGAACTTTAAATCGATACCTATTTCAGGCCCTGCAACTTTATAACGAAATCACGCCCAAAGTCATACTCAGTGGACCAACGAATTTTGCTCCACTGATCTACGAATCAATAGAAATATGTAAACTGATCAATGATGTAAGTGAGCATCGACCTGTGTCTTACTGATAATCTAATAATACTACTTAGTATCACATTCTGGTGATCGTAGCCGATGGCCAAGTGACTAACGAAAGAGCAACAAGACGTGCCATTGTGGACGCTTGTAAATATCCCTTGTCAATTATAGTCGTTGGCGTAGGTGACGGACCGTGGGAAATGATGAGGGTATTAATTAGTGCGTCAAGACTGATTTCACGTGACCGACTGAACTTTTAGGTTTTCGACGAGTCATTACCAAAACGAACATGGGACAACTTTCACTTCCTTGAATTCCATAACATTTTTCAGCAGAATGAAATGCCTCATCTGTCATTCGCTATCGATGCCCTGATGGAGATTCCTGACCAATACAAAACGATCAAGAAACTAGGCTTGTTGCACAAGAACGAATTAAAACGCTAACGAGCCATACCTTGTGTCAGTCAGTTTGTATCTCATTGTGACAGATGTTCACATCATCATGAATGTATGTACGTATTCGCTGCTCTTGAAAAATAAGTACCTACTATCTGAGAATGTATCTGTGCCATTCGCATGGTCAGTGAGGTCATGCTTGGACTTTGAACAAACGAGATCTGATCAGACGGCGTCGATGAGTGAACGAAGACCAATGACCGTCATTCGTCAATGAGGCACTGTAGGGAAAAAATTATTTGCTGTGCAGGTCACAATGGCCACTACCGACAGTGTTGTTGCAAGAGTTTTTTTATGTCCACTTTATTCGTAGACATGACTGGCAAAGTTTTGCCAATCTTTCTCGTTTGCACGGTGATCCACACATGCAAAAATAAAGTTGAAGCACGTAAAGCGATGGTAGGACAACAAGCCTAGTAGTGAATTGAGTTAACTCAGTTCCTTCCGTTTTATTCATGACTTGAGACGCGACAAAATCGTCTTAAAATTTACTGTGTGATTCTATGCAGCATAACTCGCAACATTATCATGTAACAAACAGAGTGATTCTCCAAGAGCAGCGCATTACGGCGCATTCCACCACCCCCTGGTTCTGGTTGCCAGAGAGGGCCATTTACGGATGCTGACGTAAAAATCACTTTGAGGAAATGATGTCCCATGGCACGTGAAGGAGGACGGCGACAAGCAGATGACTAATTGTTTGCCTTATATATCCAGAAACAGCTTTCATAGTATATTTTCATTTGTGCCATTGCTTCGGTATTGTCGTTATGCTGAAGAGCGAGGCAGACAGTCAGGTCTACGAAGCATTCAGAATGCCTTTCGATACTGCCAGCAATATAAGCATCAGCAATAAAGCCAAGAATTCAGGATGCAATACTCCTGCGTAGGATCCAGAACGCAGAACGTCATATCATCCTAAGAGTTTGAACGGATACGAAAGAAATCGGATACAAATGCAACGGTTACATCTGGTGCTTGCGTCCATCTAGCCATCGGACAGAGCCGGAAGAACTGTAGCTGCGAAATCACGCTGCAGTCAGCATGGAGGTACTTCCCTCACGCTTTGATATGAGTAGTCCAGAACATTACCCTGACTCTATTGGTTGCATTTCAAGGATCTATTACTCGATTCTCAATTTGTTGTACAGAAGCACAATGAGGTTATCTCTTGGCTCAATGGAAATGGCGGGAAACAAAAGGAGATTTGCGGAAATTAAAAATTCATTGACTGAAGACAAATGAACACTACTTGAGCTACCTGCTGTTTGTCGACAATATTCTGATCATCACTAGATCTTCAGACGAGCTCCAGAAAAGAATCTAAAACTTGTACTTGCCATTACGCCATCATCAGTATGATTGGGAAAGGTCGTGAAGAAAACTCATCATGCTTATCAAGTAGGTGACCGCACAAACTGCTGAAACTTCGCTTAGAAA